ACCGAAGAACCTCGGTTGAACGTTGGAGAAAACTGTGCCAACAGATTTTTAACAGCTTCTTTAGCCCAGTGGCAAGTGACGACGCTGAAAGTAGAAAGGCAGAAGCGTGTAGGAGGCTGGTAGGAAAGGCGTGTTGCTTCGCCTCGGGTGAGAATTCTTACTCACCTTGCAGCTCTAAAGCCGAGAATTCACCGCGCTCAGAGGTTTTCGTTTATTCCTTATTACAGGGCCGCTTAACACCGGCTCCTTTCACGGAGAACACGCGATTCTCGTATCGCCCTCTCGACACCCACCCCGCGAGATAGCCTTAAGAACGTTCTAACGAGTTTTTATTGTCACCGCAGATGCTGGACGTCAAGGATACTAGCAGAGGAGTCTTCGTGTGCAGCAGCCCTGGACCTGAACCGTACACGTCCCAGGATCTCTACAATCCTGTCTACGAGGAGCTCAGTAACGGTGAGTGATACCACGACGAATTTACACTTTCTTTTCATTCAGATATCCGAAATTTCATACGAGAAACTATTCCAACTCCTGTCTCGAACGGTAACAATCGCTTAATCAAGCGTTTCTATACCGCGTATAAACGGCAATTACACGTTCTAGATGAGTCTCGGCCGTGAGGACCTTGAGGAGAAAACGTGCGATCCTCAGGCTCGGTCCTGCTGAGCCAGAACGAGTAGGTAGGATCCGAGTGCTCGCTGTCACGATTAACTCAAGAGCTGAGAGTCTGACTGTTCTTTGCTGTTGGCTAACACCGAACCGCTTCTTTTCTTTCTTCTTTGCTTCTCGATTAAGCCATTCTCGTTACTTCCCTTATCGTACCTCTCTCCTCTCCTCGTCCGTAAGAATTTTTACCTCCGTTAACAAAACCGTATATTCTCCTTGTCACCGTCATTTTTCTCCGCCTCTTATCTTCTAATTAATTCGACGAACTGTCGGCGATCAAGTCTCTAATCTCCGTAAGAACGGAATCGGAAGCTGTTCATCTTCTCCTTCTCCCCTCTCGTCGAGCATCTCGATAGCTTCCTCGACGTTCGAGACGTGTCCCTCGGAGCTGTACGTTCGCCTTCGGTGGAAGGAGATAAGCGTGACACGACCTCTGGCTTATACTTCCCATTAGTCGGATAGCTAATTAGCATGGTGATGAGACTTTCGACGTTTGACGAGGACGCGGTAATCGAATATACATGCCTCCCTCCCACGAGCATTGTACAACCGCGATATTACACGAGATCGTATTCCTCGTACCTGCCGCGATAATTTATCTTGGTTAACGTCGCCCGGGGTGGTCTTAACCTCGCGAACCTTTTTTGGGAAGGAGCTTGTGGGTGATTCGAGGTTTTCACCTCGAAATCCAAGTGTTCTATTCTAATTCGAATTGTCAAATTGAATCGAGCGAATTTCAACGAAATTCGATCTGTTCGAGAATTTAAGTTCGACTAATGCTATTAAACCAAGTTTAAAGGAAATTGAAATTATCCAGCTCGAAAATGAACCAGTTAAATTGGAAATATTGAAAATTTCAGTTGAGCCAATCGTATTCAAATTATTTGAATTTTAACTGAAACTGTTGAAAATTTGAATTCTGTCAGTGCCATTAATTCCTTCTACTTAATTCGAGTCTGATCTTCACTGTCCTCTTTCACTGATTACGCTACATTTGCGTAAATATCGGAGGATAATCTTCGAATGTGACATAATAACCAGTGTCGGCATAAAACACCATTCACCTTTTTGTGGATTTCGAGACGGTTCTAAGATGAATTTGAATTCTTTACAAAACTACCTTGTTCGAATTAAATTTGCATCTCCAACAATTCCAAGCTTATCTCGTCTTACTTTTACGAGCGTGCTCGATACATTCTCCGTTGATTTTCCGCGTCCACGTTCCACAACGAGAATCGAACGTTCTCTCTTTCAACAACCATCAATTCGTTCATCCTTTGTCGTCGATAATTATCGGGAGGCAAAGTTTATCGAACGTAGCGCTCGTTCGCGCGCCTATTGTTGTCCGTCTTCACACGCGAAAAACGCGGTTGGAAAAAAGGGGAGAGAGAGAGAGTAAAAAGGAAGGAAGGAGAGAAAGAAGAGAATCGAAACGTGAAATTGGGTGAACCGTATACTACGTTATATGCGTATAATAATTGGAGCGGTGAAAGAACGAGCCAGCGATGCGGCTCGTTAGAGTTATTCGGCTAAAACTGGCTGTTTTCA